CCCGCCCCGCCCCGCGCCCGCCGGGCGTGGGCGTGCCCCCCCCCGCGGGGGCCCGCCGCCCCCCCCCCCCCCACCTCGACATCACCCCAAAGGGGAGGGGGAGGGGGCTTACATAGTTTGGTTCGAGGCCGAAGACGTTGGCGTACGAGTTCACGTCCCACCAGAGGTCGTCGGTGCTTAGGTTTCGAGACCACGGCTATGAGCGAGGATTAATGAGATGGATGCCCCCTTATTAAAATTGATAGATAGGTAGATATATAGATAGATAGATAGATAGATAGAATAGTCAAATATTCAAGAGAAATAGAAAAACACGTGTGAGGTACGCACCTGGTTCTCCTGTTGGACATACTGATGGGACCACCAGTCCGGCGAGACGGACACGGGAAACGCGTTGAAAGCAGTCTGCTCGGCCCAGTCGGCGATGTCGTTGTCGCCGAGGTACTGGTAGATATACGCCGAGGAGAACATGACCTCGGCCGCGATGCACAGCTCGGCTCCCCGGCTGGGATTCAGATCGGAGATGTACTCGTCGGCGAGGATCGTGCCCGCGAGCGAGCGGTGGTACTCTGCTAGCAGGTCGACGGCTTTCCGGGTCTGCTCCTTGAGGGCTTGGTCTCCGCTGTTGAGGTATAGGGATAGGGGGTATCGCAGTCCTTTGGATAGATGAGTTAGATGGGGAGTAGATAGATAGATGGGGAGTAGATAGATAGATGATACGGGTTGTGCTAGGTATATCTCTTGATTCATCATCCATCTTACCTTGTGCCATGTTTACCCCGTGGATGAAGACCCAGCTCAGGTCAAAGGGAGTTGTTTCGTATAGAACATGCGGATATGCTTCGTCTGTCCAGAATGTTCTCCAGTCTGCTCCCCACTGTATGTATTATTTCATGTCAGCGAATTCTCTCTTTTCTCCTTTCCTCCTTTCCTCCTTTCCTCCTTTCCTTAATAAACCCCCCCCCTTTTCTTTTTTTTACGTGCTGTACTCGTATTCAAAAATCAGGATAGATGGGTGACAATAGGAGATCACTTACTAGTACTCCTCCCTCGACCATGAGTTCCATAGTTTCCCAGATAACCTCAGAGTTGTTCCGCGGGTATCGCTCTAGAAGCCATTGCAGCGGGATGTGCATCTCATGCGTTCGACCTACACCAAACCCGGCAGTATCGTAAGTGTCGTTACCATGCACGAGGAGGCCAGTGTAGTTATTCTGGAGCACTATATCATGTAGAGTTAGTTCTCAGAAGCGTATCAGAAGCGTATTCTCCTTTGAATTGAAATTAGACCTACTGCTATGTGCAAGGACGACATAGCGGTGCATAGCATCGACAATACGCTCCGTCTGAGTCGGATCAGCTTCCGCATATTGCACAAGTCCCAGCAGAAGCAAGCACCGCGCCCAGAGCCCCCTCGTAGCTTGCGTAGTTTCCCACCCAATCCACCCGTCTTCCTGTTGGTGGTCGAGGATATAATCCAGATAGTACTTCACCTGGCCGATAATCCTCTCGTCGCCTAATCCAAAAGCCAGCGGGACAAGGCCGTTGAACCAGTACGGCGAAGCTTCACTGCCGACAGATGAGAATTAGTATAAGTCTCGAGTACAAGAACTAACAACCTCAACCTCAACCGCATCCAGAGCCGAATCGCACAAGAGTCAAACAATATAGAAACAATATAGACGCAGCCATACTCTAAACCCGAATACTCCGTAGACCCCCCTATATACTTCGAGTCATGCACGAAGCGATAGAAATCAAACATATTCCCCGACAGCCCCGCCGCCTCAAGCTCGAGCTGGTCTTTAAACCATCCCAGCGGCTTGATCGAGCCTAGATCTAGCGGCTTATACACCGGCTGCACAACTAACAAGAGCCAGTTAGCCCAGCCTGATAACTCTCAAACACATGGGAATTCTTCAAGTAACTAGGTAAAGTAACTAGGTAGCTTACGCGAAGTTCCATCTTTATACGACGACCTAGAAATCGCTGCTGCTTGAGCACAGCCAGCCAATGCCGCAAGGGCAGCACACGATCGAAGTAGTAGTATCATAATGAGTAAGATTAGGCTTTAGAAGCCAAAAGGAAGTATACTCGTCAAGGGCCCCCTCGCATAGCTACTGCTCGTGGCATGCTTGCCTACCTACCTAGGTACCTATATATGTATATTCCTGCGGTATAACTTCAGATCGGCCCCTTCCCCTCCTATCGCGGTCAGGCGCCCTCGGCCTAGAACGATGCGACAGATAAGGCGAGGAGAACGGATGGGAAATATGCGAGCCTATCGGAATGGCACATAGCTATCAACCGTCACCCTGCAAGGTTACAGCAAGAGGTCAAACAGGGTTCACTAACATGGTTAATATAGTAGCAAACTTGATAAGCCCTTTAGTTTGCCGGGAATTATAGTGAGACTTGGGGACAAACCTCGATTGCATAAAATCTCCGCCTATGATTGTGGTCACAGGTTGCGGAATTACCACTCACGAATGTTACTCCTGTCACTAACAATTCCCTACGGATTTCATCTTAGCAAAGAAGTCTCATTGTGCTATCTTACAAATACACCTAAGTGTAATCTCGTGGCCAGACGTCCGACATAGCGGAGGGAATCTGAGCAGCAGACTTCGTGCTGCACTTAGTACAAGCAATCCTGCCCTTTTGACAGCCCTCATAGTCCTAGTGTCTGCCAAGATCCTTTTCCGACAAAGTTACATTATCGCAAAATCCACAACTTTTTCTATGACGAACTCCAAAGATCCACCGCACCCGTCGTCCTCAATCGAGTCACTGGCGACATTAAGTAGAATGCTCGTTAATAAGACGTTCAGAATTTGTTTAGGGGTATCAAACACCCCGAGCAATGTTGATGACGTAGAATTTTATCCTAGCACCATTTAGAAGCCGAATCCCGTAGCTTGAGGCGCAAAGCCGTTGGGTTGCGCGAAAGGAGCTGGGGAGACTCTTCCGCCAGTGGAAGCAGGTCCGGCGGTAATCATGAGACGGTTGCCACCAAGGATGGGTGTCTCATCTTCATGCTTCTCCTGAGCTGACTCCTTAGCCTTTCGTGCTTCATTGTCAGCCCTGAGCGTTGCAATTTCCTTGGTTTGCTGGCAAAGAAGATTGATCATGTACGGCATAGTAAAGTCGTTTAGACCGTGACGCCACGACAGCTCCAGTACGATGTCGGGTCGGATGAGGTCGTAGCATGCATAGAGCATACCAACATAGCACTCGCGGCTGCCAATGTCGACGAACTAGGAAGATAGTTAGCACAGACAAATTAGTCTGAAGGTTAGAGAAAGGAAACTTACGTAACGGAGGAGCTCCTCAACAACCTCAGACTTGCCGGAAATAGCAGCTGTCTCAATAGCGTCCTTGTATAACTTGTCCTGCTTCGATAAAGCGATCGATTTCTCCCATCTCTTGGTCTTACGGTAGATATTAGCAGCAATCTGTCTGAAGAAGACAAGATCGTGCTTCTCTAGACGGGAGGCAAGATCAACCGCATCGTAGTTGTCGTAGTTCTCCACCGAGTCTCGCAGAGTCTTGTAGTCTTCCTCCTCGATTAAGAGATCGTTAATAGCGTCGTTCACCGTTCGCTTGTTCTGGCTCTGTACGTTGAGCAAGAAGGGTTTGATCAACGGTAAGTTATCCGACTTTTGGAACATGCGAACAACTCGGTTGACATCGATGCGCGGGGTAAGAACCTGGAGGAGATCAGTCAAGAGAGACGGATGTTGCTCAAGGTAAAAGTTGATGGCGCGGTAATAGATCTCCAGGTTAGCAACCTTGACGACGATGTCCTTGAATTGCTGGTGCTCCCAAGAGTTTTGCGCACGCTCCATTACAGCAAGCGCGGCATTGTCGAACTCATCATAATGGTAGTAGCAGAAGACTAGCTCGGGCCACAGATTGGCATCCTCGCAAGCACGAATCAACTTGGGTAGGTTCATTCTACTCCAGAACAGTTTGATGTGCTCCATGAGTCTCTCGGGGTGGTACTTCGAAAGTGCGATACCCAGCTCGGTGAACATTCCCATGTGAGCACGTTCGAGGCCGAGTCCTTGCTCGAGAAGGTCGATAAGCTCGTCGAAGAAGCCTTCGGATTCGTACTGCTTGACAAGGGCTTGTAGCTGCTCAGCATCGACAATCAAGTTGAGACCACAGATCTTCGCAAGTCGGAATTCTTTCTTGGCAACACATGCCGAATGGACTTGGTTCCAGACCTTGATGTTGTTGGCCTTGCGCGCGCATTCAACAGCCGCCTGGTAATCTTCAAGGTGCACAAGTGTAGTAGCGAGCTTAGACCAGTTAGAGATGCTAGTGTAGAAGATCTTTGCGGCCTTATGAAAGCCTTCCTCGGCAGCTTTATCACCAGACTCTTCGATATTGGCCACATTGGTACCTCGGAGGAAGTCCTCTAACTCTCCTAGCTGATCCAGTCGAGCGTAACAGAAGGCAAGACCGGTATCGATCGGAGGTTCACGAAGAGTCTTGCGTGCCATCCGGAGATATTTGACCAGTTCTTCGTCCTTTCCAGCATGGGTCGCGACCTCAATGACTTCGAGGTAGTTGCGAGGATCACCAGCCCTGATATAGGACTCGATGGCATCTGCCACGCGTAGACCATCAAGCTGGGCCTTAGCAACTCTGCTCCAAACCTCTGGAACATCGACATCTTCGGCGAATGCGCTAGCGCGGTCGATACTAACAACGTGCTCTACCAAGACTTCAACAGCTGCCGTCTTGTTACCAACCTTCTTGTAGATCTCAAAAGCCTCTTCATGGAGACCGACGTCGATACATAGCTGCGCGCACTCGTCGGGATTGAACGAGTCGAGGCGGTGGATATAGTCCATAACTCTACCCTTATCCGCCCTCGCAGCAGTGAGGATGAGGAGGTTCTGGAGACTTGGGTTGTCATTAAAGGGCGAAGGCTCCAAGACTATCTTTTCTAGGAGTTCGATAAGCTCGCCCGGAAGGTCAGATGCCAAGAATGATGCGACAGCCTCAGAGACCTTTGCAGGGTCGCTACATTCAGGGACAGCCGTCGCAACGACCTGGTCAATAACTGACCTACGATGAATGTTGTTTTCGCTCAAAACAAATGTCCATAGCTCACGATCAGAGCGTTCCAAGACATAGCGAGCTTGGGCACGATACATGGAGTTTTCGTTTGTGATGTTGATCAATTCCAAATCGTTCTGGCCCTTCTGGTACGCGATGAAAGCCAAGTTCGGGTCTCGCTTCTCGCAATATTTACCAACACTCAAAGTATCGTACTGGTCATTCTCCTTGAGGAATTTCTCCGGGTTGTTGTTGGAGTCGATATAGATCTTGGCGAGAGCATTGAAAACTGCCTGTTGTTGGTTGCCAGCGGCCAAAGTAGCCTCTAGGAATGGCAACAATAGCTTTAGACGGTTACGGGTTTCTACCTCTTGCACTAGCGCATCAATGGGAATCGACGCAGGGTTGATAGTGCTGAGGAGATTCTTGATCACAGACTCGTCGCAGTCAACGTCAAGCAGGCCACCAATGACTTCGGGAGTCCTGCCCGGGTTGACACGCTGCACGTAAACCTCAATTGCATTGAATCGCTGGTTCTGATACAAGTAGAGTATTAAGTCATGGACGAAGTTATGTTTATCGCAGACAATAATCAACGGGAGCATCTCCGCAAGTTTCGCTTCTTTGAGGAAGTTCTTGACCTTTTCTGGGTTGTAGAAATTGCTGTCTCGGCAAATTCTCTCGACTTCATTGAACTGGCCCATCTTGGTGGCTGCTTCGATATACTTGAAGTGGACATCTGGGTCTTGAGAGAGATTGACGATGCTTCCGAGATAGAAGAAGAGACCTTCATGGGTCTTATATTTCTCAAAGAGGTCGATCAAGTTAGTAGGACCAAGGAGTTCGGAATACTTGGTCGCAATTTGGACAACTGATTGAAGGTTTTGGCGGATGTTGGCCTTCATCATGGCGTCGAGGCATTCTAACGACTGCTCTACTGAAAGCTGGCCAAAATAGTTGACCAACCAGTCCGCGTTGAAGTTCGGAGTGCCGGGAATACCAACGATGACTCGCTTGATAGCCGCCGGGTCCTCGTAGAGCTCCAACGCCTTTTGGTACAATCCGGTCTGCTCACACAAGCTCCCAATGCGAGCCTTGTCGAAATGCGAGAATAGATTGTTGCCCAAGATCGCATCTGCTACCTGAGGTGCGTTCATCAAGTTCATTTCAAGAAGCCTAGTTTGCAAGTGGCCATGCTCCGGCTTGTTCTCCTTGAGCGCCTCAAGTAAGAATGCTGTAGCTTGCTGAACCATGCCTTGTGATTGGAAGACATCGACCACACGCTCGATATCAATCAACGATCCACCTTGGTGACTGGCTAGGGAGGTTGCGAATTCTGCACCACGCTCTGGGTTAACGCGAACGATATGCTGCAGCAGGGTAATCCAGTCCGGCTGGTAACCAGTCTGGTCACAGTAGGGCAGGATCTTGTCGAACTGGCCTAGTTCGGCAAATGAAGCAACGACTTTGTGAGGAGCATTAGCTTTTAGGTAGACTGCTAAAGCCAAATTGACATCATGCGGTCGAACTAAGTCACCAAGCTCCTCGGAAAAGTCCAGCTTGCCTTCCTTCGCCCATTTCTCGAGGAGATGCTTCCGGTTTTGAGATAGTACGGGCACAGCAAGTTCAAGAGTCTCAGTCTTATTCAAGGGGGTAGTCTTGTCAAGAAGCATTCCGAAGTATTGAAGGATATAGGACATTTTGCCCGGAGGCGCTGGGAGGTTCTTGAATTTGTTGATTGTTTCGGTAGTTCGTAAGAAGCCCCGAGGAGAGTTGGCAGCGACCCTTGCAGCACCATCGTAATCGCCCGAGTTGAATAGCTGGTCAAATTGGCGTACATAGAGCTGATCCGCACCAGGAAGTCCAGCTCGGGAAGCCATCTTGACGGCGATCTCAGTGTTTGCCGGGTTTTGGAGGAGATAGTCAACCATTGTTGTTTCATCAACTGACACAAAGAGCACCTGTCCCTTCCTGTTGATACCGAGAATACCGGTCGAGTCGGAATCGGCACAAGTCGTAAAGATAGTCTCGCTCGAAATTCGGTTCATGAAGATGGTACTACCAGTCTCCAAATCATAGAGGTGGATGAATCCGTACTTTGTTACCATGTAGACAATGCCGTATTTCTGGGAGACTTGCATGGCAACAGGGAAATCGTTCGTGGCTTCGGGAGGGAAGAAGATGTCGACAGCCTTTTTTTGGAAGGGCTTGTTGCCCTCGGGGTGATCGATCTCGACAATGTGCAGCTTAGCCCCCGTAGCGCTACGAACTGCGAAAGAGAAGACTTTGGTATCCGCGGGCTCGCCTTCTATTCTGAGGGTACCGAATGTGGCTGCGTGACCTTCGATTGCTTGGCTGATACCTCTATCCTTGGAGTACAATTGTAAACTGCCGACTACACGACCTGCCTGCTGAGAAATACCAACAACGGCCATCCATTTACCGTCACTGTTAGTTCGATAGTTTATAATTTGACATCCCTAATTTGATAATGGTTAGCTAGTAAGCTCCTTAATATAGATAGCATATATAAGGTTAACATACGTTCAAGTTGGCGTTGCGCTTGAAGACTTCGACAGGAGCAGCTTGAGTGTTATCATAGATATCCCAGTGAAACACTGCGGTCTCCGTGACCAAACCTAGGGTCGACTCGTTAACCCACTTCCAGAAGACGACATCTTCGTTCATCGTAGCAGACTTCAGCTTTGCTTTCTTCTCTAGGTCGAAAATCTGTAGTGTTCTCGATTGTGCTCGGAGGGCAATGATCTGCTTCGACCAGTGCATGATAGCACTGTCGGCTTTGATGGGTCGGCGTGTCACACTGTTCCCTTGCTTAAGATCAATGATGACGACTTCGGGTTGCGCTGTCTCGCTCTTCTTTTCTCTTATGCAAATGAAGGCATCGGATTCTAAGGTCTAATGCAATGAAAGTTAGACGTGAAGCTTTGGAACGTTAACAACAATGAGGGATTGCTTACACAGGAGTTGAACCCAACGGCGCTCTGATCAACGCCGACATTGCCGAGCGTCAATAGCTCCTGGAACTTAATAGGTAACGGAGCCATGATTCCAGATCACATGGGTTGGTCAAGACGGCAATGGCGAAGCGCAAACGCAGTATTGAAATAGAGATTGTCGAAAACCGGGTAGCTATCCCATAAACAGTGCGCCTAGTTCAGCCCAACAACGATTGTGTCCAAGGAACGCGATCGTGAATGAGCTGAGGCTAGGTAAATGTGTACAGGAAAGGGGTGGAAATGAAGGTATTAGGTGCTAAATTAGCAGAAGAGACCTCCAGGGATTGATTATGTAGGGGAAGAGAGTAAGTTAGAGGGAAACACGCGTGCAGCCGTCAATGGCGACGTCTTTTAGGTAGGCACGGCGACGAGGTCAAGTATTGTACAAATGTGGATGAAGGAGTAGAGAAGGTGCAGGTGGTTAATCAGCGGTAATAAGAATTTCTAGGAGGAAAGTGGACGTGTGTACAAAATATGGTGATCCCTTTCCAAATGTTACGGGTTACTTGTTCGGAAGGAGCATCTGAGGCTGCCAGTCATGTACCTGACGTCGTGCACGAGCCACGTACATTCAGCTATGCCGTTACGTACCGACTGTCAGGGTAGGTGCAGCTCCAGGCAAGAATATATTGTCACCCCGGTACTACTTTCCGTTTGCTTGAAATTATTTATATTAAAAGGCCTTAGAGGTATAACAGGCATTTATATAAGGAGACTCTCCATTGGTTTACACCAGGTCCTAGCACGAAAGTGAGACTTTATTATGGAGAATTAACAACACTTATATCTGCCTACTTAATGTATCAAATCTAAATGTCGAAAGACAGTTATCCCGCAGGCAGCACCGATAAGTTAGGCTGGTAGATTAGGTTGTTTATCTCTACTGCTGGTTGATAATTCAGTAGAGCCTATTACGCTTCTGCTTCGGTGGTTGCCATTTGAAATGGAGTATCAAAGCCGTGAAATAGTCAACTGAAGCATGAATGAACCAGTTCAGTTTCAGTCCTAAGCTGTAAGATATGTTAAAATATCTTCTACGAGGATCGTCACATATCAATTCAGAGACAGAAGCATCACAGCCCTTGAACAACCTCTAAGGACATGTTTACTCCAACGGCTATCGTAGGGCATCGTAAGCCCTTAGTCTCTATTCACATATGACCAACAAGAATAACCAGCTTCACCTGTGAATACCTACAAGTCTACACAAAAAAGATTAGATGATATACATGTACGTTCAATCATTGCGATCCTCCCCATCATCCCCGAAAGGATGGGAAGCACCGCACCCAAGATTGTTCGTTGGGAGTTAGTCTCCATTCTGTCCGAGAACTTCAGTGGTCATGGGCCACTGCAAAAGAGAGGAAACCTCGCACCAAATATCGTGTCTCGAGAATGTGATTTTTTGCGTTGTTCATTTTGAATGAAGAAAAAAAGAAGAAAATTTCCCCATCGCAGAAATTCTTCAAAATTTGTAGTAGCTCAGCCACTCCACCCTAGTCGATAAGCCACGTACATATCAGCCCATTCAGGTGGGTCCATACCTATGGATGGACTGTAATTAGGTACATAGGTACATCCGCATCAGAAGCTCCGAATATCGCGAACTCCAAGCTTGCTCGTTCATCGCATATCCCACTTTATTTAGGTAGCATTCACACAACCTATTTAGATCACGATATTTTTACCCCTAGGATTAGCATATCTCAGTGTTTGACATGGCAGGAGTCACGGCGAATGCAGCCCAAACACTCCCGAGATTTCTACTCCCGCGACTGAGCTGGGTAGGATCTACTGGGTCTTCGCAAGCATTGCGAGCTGCGACTCTACCCGCAGAGAACCGACAGTCATGGCAAGGGTATGGGACAGCCTCGTTCCACTCACTTCGAGAGAAACCTCAGTATTTCTCGGGTAATACAAGGACGAGGCCATCTATTCTACTTCAGAATCCGAATTTACGAAGGTCATTCCATGCCACAGCGCCGCGGGGCAGAGACCATCACTTCGATACCCTGAAATTCGTCCAACGACTACAGAGCGATGGCTTCACGGAAGAGCAGTCTGTTGCAATGATGAAGGTTTTGAACGATGTAATCGAGGAGAGGCAAGCGTTAACAAAGATTCTTAGTTAGCTGCCGCCGCTAACACGCCAGCTAGCATACAAAACCTAACTCGGACGATGGTATTGCGTGAAGATGCCGCCAAGGCGACATACACGCAGAAGGTAGACTTTGCAAAGCTTCGCTCTGAGCTTCTCTCCGCAGACAGCACCGAGTCGAACACAACGCGGGCTGCCCACGAGCGACTAACGAACGATATCACCAAGTTGAATAACCGCCTGCGAGATGAGATCGGTCGAACGCAGGCATCGGTGCGGCTGGATTTGAACCTAGAAAAGGGACGGATACGAGAAGAGGCTGTAAGCCAGGAGTTGAAGATCAAAGAGACGGAGACTAAAATTGAGCAAGAAGTTGCTGCCCTAAGAGAAAAGCTAGAGCAAGTCAAGTTTCAGACGCTCCAGTGGCTGATGGGCGTCTGCACAGGTTTTGCAGCATTGTTGCTTGGTGCTTGGAGGTTGCTCATGTGAAGCGGATGGAGACATCCACGCTGGTTGTCCGTATTATTTGGGGTATTAAATTAAAGACTTCCAGTCGCAGGACGAGTGGAAATTATATACGGCAGATATCGAATCCATAAAGATGGATCCGATCAACAGTATTTTCCATGTACATATTCCTTGTCCAGTAGATACAGTCATTGGTACAACATGGTGTTAGTTCCCTGTGCGCTGCCAGCCTCGGGTCTTGCCAACACGTATTTGGCAGAACCGCCCCTAGTCCCCAACCCTATGTAATCCCAAAGGCAAGGGTTACGATGCAAGTAAGTCAGTCGCCGGCGAAAACACGATCCCAGTGGCCCATTAAGAAGGTAGCTCGATGTAAGCTGCTGCCTATTATGTGCAACTATTCTAACTTATAATAAGTATATAGTCTCAGACCCCATGGTTACCTTAGTAATCGACCACTAGGACTATGGCCCTTAGATATTCCCCAAGTTCTAGCTTATATGTTCAGCCTTTGTATTAAACACAACCATGATATTCTCGTGTCTCTTAATGGTCTTGTCCGGCAACCTTATTCTGGGGGTACTGGTGTCTTGAGGTCGAGTATTACCGTTTCTATGTAGCTCAGCACAAAAAAACATACCGCCTCTGAGTTCTGAATCATCCGAGTCCCGAGCAAGAGACTGTAACTCTTCGAGTTGTGTCGTTTTCATGTTCTGGTAGCCTCGGGGGGTGGATTTCCCTTCCACTACACGGTACACCATGTAGGTACTAGTGTAGGTACTAGGCTACACTATAATTGTATCTTGACAGTTGCCTTAGGGATAGAAGCTTAACTTGAGCATCCTTTAGTATAAATATGTAACCCATTGATAAGTTGAGTATATGCCCTCTTTAGCTGTGACCTAGAAACTGTATCTAATGTTGCTTTTGATACATATTAGATATTATATGAAGTTCAATAAAGGTGCGATGATTCTCTTAACCTTAGTTATGTCTATATTATTTTACGACAATAAAACGATACAAACCCCTATTGACACCATTGCATGTAAGTACATATCTACAATCTACAAGAAGGGCACATGCTCTTCTTAATTGATGCCTTATGCTCATTAATCGTGCCTTCTTCAAACATGAATCGTAAGAGGTTACCAATTCCCTGTTGGCAAGTGGAGCAGGGAAGTGTTAAAAGGGAAGACTGTGCCTCGTATGCCAAGCTTCTATAGGCCTGAAGGAGGAATGCTTGAAATGTGGGGTGATGTTGTGCTACGCGGCAGAGACAGTACGTACCGAGATAACCCCATGGACATCTGTGGGGCGTTCTAGGTTTTTCTATCTGATCGGCTCGAGCAATCGGTTCTGGATCTTCTACCTATTCCGTTTGCTGGGTCCGAAGGCGTTTAGCAGTATGCTGGGTTGGCTGGCTAAAATGTCTCGATTACTATACTTTCGCGCCCAAGCAACAAGTAGGTATTCCCGGTAGTGATGCAAGTTTTGCTCAGCCTCTCCCCGTGTTCGTCATCTTGCGTTGTTAGCTTCTCTAGACTGCGATAGGGCTATCAGACGTAGCGTCTATGATACCGAGGTGTTACCTCTTGTAAGTTGTAGGTGATCATGTATGTGCATACCTACATACATGTACGAAGGGTAAGACGATGAGGAAGAATACCTACCTAGGTTAAGATTATCTCCTGCGACAAGGTTAGGAGCACAGAAGCAGTTCTATTTGTTAGTAGGACTTGGTGTCAGACGACCTTGAACCGTTTAAGTTTAGGTATGTTGTGCGCAGAACTAATAAGTTCCCAACACACAAGTCTACCAGGTAAGTACTCTGCATAGATGCTAGGTACCTGCATGAGCATTGGCTAGTGGACAATACATATAAGTACATCGCTGCCGCCCCGCAGTTTGGCATTTCCCATCTTCTACAACCCATTTTTCCCTCTACCTTCAATTAAAATACCTACAATAACATCAATACCTATCTCCTGCATACATCCTAATATCTACCTCCTAAGATACTTCCAACAGCAGCACAACTTACAGCAGAAAGTGTGGTATTGTGTGTTGTTCCACTTCAACATTAAACGCTACCTAAACTGCAACAATAATTTTATTAACTAGGTATGGTATATGCATAATCGTATTCCACCCGCAATTCCTCCAGCATTCTTTGTTAGCAGCCTGTTTCCCCGTTTCGCACTACATAGCACTACTTGAATATCGGCTTTCGTCATTTCAGATCCTGTCTGGGATTTAGCGATTACTCTAGGTTCCTATTGGTAATTGGTAAGGGATTTGTTCGCAAGTACGTATATTCGAGGGCATCTACACTAAATGGGAATATCGACATTGAAACATTGAAACATCGTTGTTCAACAGAAAAAATACCCTTACTTGAATAGCGTCACCATAAACCTACTACTAAACCATTCGCGACGAGACACGTTCTCTCCCTTCGTTATCCTACCCTAACTCGACTCGCAGATCGAATCGAATCATTCCTACCTGCCCCCACATCCTCTACGCGCATTCTCGTTCGCCGACCGCCGAAGACGCTTCGCACCAACCCACCAACCCACCAAGCAATCTTACCCATTGACTTATCGCACGAAGACGAAGAGCTATTATATTGCCCCGAGAGGCTACATTAATCACAGGTCTTGCAAATGACGTTCCGCAATAAGTTTACTCGGCGGCTGAATGACAGCGTGAGCCCCCATTACAGAAGAAGTCCTTCCCGCAGACTGCGCTCAAGAAGATCTCAGTTTTCGCCCACACCTTCGCCTACGCAGCCGTACCTTTCCTGTGAGAATTTACATTCGATCTACGTCTTTTACGCGTTTACGTACTGACTAAACTCTCTAGATCATGACATTCTTCGTATGCCTCTCGGTCCTGTTCTAACTTGTTGGCAATGCTAACTCTCAACGCCTAGTCACGTACGAGGATATCAAGGCGCTTAAGAATGACTGGTTGACCGACAACGTAAGCTCCCGCCATGAAATATAAAATTAATTTTTAAGGGTTACTGACGAATTTCCCCTGTAGAACATTGCCTTCTGGGAAGAATTCCTAGAACGTGAAGTGCTTTCGAAGTACCCCCAAGCACACATTGTTCTCCTTCGGCCGTCGATGACTTTCCTCCTGATGAAGAATAAGGACACTGAGATGGTTCGAGCCGCCCTACCTGACTTCCGACAGATAACGCACATATTTCTCCCCATTAACGACAACCGAAACGTCTCACAAGCCGAAGGTGGAAGTCATTGGTCCTTGCTCCTTGTGAGTATCATTGATGGCGTTTCATTCCACTACGATTCGCTAGACGGTTCAAACAACGCCGAAGCTTGGGAGGCATCTAAGAGATTATCCAGCGTACTCGGCAGATCCCTACGATTCCATTATCTACCCGACTCACCGCAGCAAGAAAATGGAAGCGATTGTGGCGTCTTTGTGTGTATCGTCATGCGACACCTACTTGTCAAGCGTCTCCTGGCCGTCAATGCCGGGGAGAAGATCTCCATGAGTATGGCCCACAAAGCTATCGATAGTGTTGGAGCTCGTAAGGAGATGCTTAAGATAATCGAGAGTCTGCGCAAGGAGGGAGAACGAAGGCGTCTCACACCGAGCAATACGCCACCCCGAATCGAATAGAGTTCGGTGGGTATGTTGATTAACCAGATCAGCCGCCGGTTTATACCATCAGTACACCATCACCTCGCCCGCCTAGGTATCATCCCTCGACCTTTGTGTGATTTATTATCCGACCTGCTTAGGCACGACACTTGAGCGCGGCTATTTCGAGAACTATTTCTACAGCCGTGTCATCTGCACCTAGTGTATTCTGTGTTGCTGAAATCACGTTTACAGCGAGCTGTGTACTACTTGAAGTAAGACCCGTTTAGGACTTGCGAGGAGTATAAAGGATGCGGAATCAGGGTTACTTGCATTGTTCATTCTGCATATTACGGATCAGGAAGGGATTTGGAAACAGCGATTTGTGATTTATTTGAATTTTTCCTGGCATTGATGGGTAGATAAATACCATCAAGGGAAATGTATCATTTGATAAGTAGTTAAAGTGTGTATTTACAGTCTACGCATGATGACCAGGATAAAGTGAATTATAGCGTGACATATGATATCCTTCTAGCTAGGGACTGAGCCCTCAAAAGCGTTGATAGGTAGCGAATATAACAAACACGTCGTTACCTATATTTCGGCGAGAAACCGTTGAAGTTACTTCAATGATAAGCACAACTCCGAACTCCAGATTAATATGAAGCCATCGTAACTAGAATAGGTGTCTTAGTGATACTGCTTCTGGACGTCCACCAACGCTTTAAGTACTACCAGCTACCCCATACATAGTAAAACACCCTCGTGGAGTTTCGTACGGCGTACGCCTTATTGGCACATCATAACTGGCAAGCCAACATGGCAGATTCAATGGTGTAGCAATATTCGTTCCCCTAAGACGGACCAACGAGGCCGGGACGGATAGATAAATCCTATACATAGTCCCTCGTTGGTTGTCCGATAAGGGATATTAAGATTGTATCAAACTTGCTTGCGGATAGAACAGCAAGGCCTGTACACTTGTTCCCTCGATTTGTGGCTGCTGAAGAGTGATGATGATGTTAGCGTGAGGTGATGGGAAACACATAATACATGGATGGTGTTCTTACATACCTAACATCAGCCATTAGGTACTCTCGTGTCCCGACCGTCTTGGAGTGATTGTTCACTATTCACTGGTGTTGCTGTGACCCCCTTCATTTCCCATCCTGCTTCCCCACAAACGCCGGATTCTGCTCCATAGTCGCCGAGATGAAGCCTCGCAGTGCCGCCCAGCGATTCGTCGTCGACACAGGCGCTGGTGCCGGTGCCGGCACAGTCGTCGCATCCCGAGTCTCCATCATGGTATTTTCTTTCCCGCCCTGCTCAACATCCATCTGCACCTCCTTCTCCGCAACAGCACTCAGTCTCGCAAGACTAACCCCAAACCTCTCCACCTCGCCCTTCACAATCCTCTCCTTCCTCTTCAGCGCCCCAGGCCGACTCTTCAAGCTCCGATGCCTAATCTTCCCCTCCCTCATCTGTCTCAGCCCCTCCTCCGTCTCCCCATCTACCAATAAATCCGGCAGCGCATCCGCCAGCGAATCGAGATTCGCCACGAGCTTGTTGTTCGGCCGCCTGCGTTTGGGCGCTTTCTGGTTCGCCTTTTCGATGCGCGAGACGAAGGACGCGTGCTTGATGGTCCGCTTGTCTTTCTTGGAATTGGAGAACGAGTCGCTTGTCCCGACGGCGTCAGGCCGCGGTGCTTTGCGCGGAGCGTATGGCTCTGGTCCAGAGCGGGCGGCGAGTTTGGCGCGGAGGGAGCGCCGTTTGGAGGGGACGACTGGGGCCTGGGGTGGATGTTGTTAGTATGGGATTGAGGGAGCGATTATGCGAGCTTGAGGACATACCATGTTTTAAGTTGGATTATTTACAATGCCGGCCCGAGAACTTGGGTATGTTAAAGCAGGTATAGGCACTTGTTGAACGTGAAGGGTTGCTTGTTGAGGATTTGGATTTGGAAAATGGTCTGAATAGTTGATAGAAATTCTAGTGGGGTTTGTTATGTAATTGTCTAGGTTACCTCACTATCTCTTATCGGAGAACTACGTACCTTATGTAGGTATATTTAAATGCTTTTGTAGGGGTACCTACTACATGTAACTATCTCTACTACATGTAACAAAAACACATCAGAAAACTCGCCTCGAGATAAATTGATTCATTCACTCTACCTAGGTATTATTACATGTCTTTAACACACATCCTCATAGACATCTTGAAGTGAATATTCCCATGACGATACCCGAAATCCAAGTCAATTCTATATCAGCGGCCATACCTTAAGCCTTAAAACTTCCCGAACGCCTCGCCTGCCTCAGTTTACAACACACGCCTTGGCCGTTATGAATTCTAATGCAATTGTAATTTTGTTCCCCGGCGCCCGTATATCTTCTCTAGCCTCTAGCAGCCCGGTAGTAAAACATGCAACACTATAAATATTTAAGTCTTCTAGTGGCAAATACGGCCACCATTGCACTGCAGGCCCCGATGAACAAACATATGGAAATAGCATTTGGCCCATCAGTACCGTGGTGCTCATCTGGGTGTGCGTTATGCGCCAATTCGGGGCTCTTGCCTGGTTCAAGAATACTGAAGATGATAGTGCTGAGAATTGTGCCGATGAATTGTGGGATCGTCGTATAGATATTCAGGATGCCGAAATAAACACCGGATAACTGACCGGATGAGCCCGACTTCGACGCGGCGTGCAAACCCTCTGGATCGAGAACGGAAGGGCTGGCCGGATCATTCAAGTCCTCCAACTCTACGTTTGAGTCGTGCGACAGACGACGGTACGATGAGTTGGACCCAGTTGCACCACTAAGCTTATTGACCTCGACTCCGAGGAATGCCGAAGGCGCCCATGATGCTATATTCCAAGGTCTATGAAGAATTAGATGTTAAAGTCAGGACGTCTTGGGAATATACAAGACACTTACAATCCGCATAGGCAAACGAGGAAAGTTGCAAACCTAAAGCTATGGGCAAATGGTGCGAAGAGCATTGCTCCCGCAAAGGTTGCATGGGCGCACATCCACGCAGTTAGAAGGTCTGGTTTATACTTATTGAATCTCTCCATGACGCCCTGAAGACTCTGGGGAGGGCGCCGGGTATAACTCTCGTCATCTGGTGATCTAATAACCATTGGCAGAATCCATGACCCTAAAAAGGTGATGCCGGAATAGATGATAAAGGCCTCGCTTCCAACTCTACCTATCTCCCCGAGCGCATCCCCCGAGTCTTTTGCATCATGCGGCGTATCGTACCGAAAGTAGGTCTCACCTATCCATGTTGTACTGTAGAAGAGAAAAGGGAACCATCCGATCCAGGCCCAAAACTGCGCCATACAGATTGCTCGTATGCGAGGCGGCAGATTTACAATAGTAGACCAGATTTGACTGACAACCTTAAACCCCCCATCATCCCTACGAGGATCATGCCTCGGGGCGATCAAGATCCTCTCTGTTACAGCCCAGGCAGTAACTCCACACGTTAAGACAAGACCCAACGCGGCAATAACAGTCAGCTGTTTGAACTGAGTATCGCCTAGGGATGTTCCAAGGAGCGAGGGCAAATCAACAGCGCCGGTCGCATAGGCTATTCCATGGCCAATGGCTGACATTCTGCTACCTGTTGATAAAGTTAGTGTGCATTGATGAGACGGGCATCATAATTCTTTACCCCAAGCAGATCCTGTTTGTTGCTTGTCGATCGGAAGCGTGTCAACGACGAGACTCCTTGCCGCCGACATTACTAATAGCATTGTTAGCACGCAGCGACGCAGAGCACATCCAAGCGCAAGTATCATCTACTGACCGGCGTTGATAGAAAAGTCAACCGCATATATCGACAACACGGCGGCGGATATTGTGAAGGTTTGCGCCACCTTTTCGTCGGGAACGAAGTATCCTACTATCTCCTTTGTGAAACCCAAAGTGAGGAGACATAGAGACGAGAGTATAGAGCCAATCACGATAAACGGTCTACGTCGTCCCCATTTCGATGTCGATTCGTCTGCTAACGCGCCAACTATCGGCTGCACGATGAGTCCAGAGAGCGGCCCAGCGATCCAGACCAAGGATGTTTTACTTTTCGTTAATCCGAGAGAAAGGAGGTAGGGGGTACAATCTGACCGCAGGAACCATTAGTCCTTGTCTCATACTGAAGCCATTGGGAAAACTTGCATGTTTGCTCTACACCCCAAACGAATCTACGCGCAACAGTGAAGTCAGCATCCACCGTCTCATCCCTTAGGTGTAGTATTTGCGACGTACGTAATGCCGATGGTGTTGAGTGTCAACAAGGCCATTCGCACTGCTTCAGTGCTCCCCTTGATAGAGGCCTGGCCTGACCATCTTGACATATTGTTCCGCTTGTAGGGGCTATGAGCCCGGCGTTCGTCGTACTCGAGTTTGCGCTGAAAGCCGTCTGTCAGCTTTACCGTTTACGCGACGTTGATATTGAAGCCAAATTTTGAAATTACTACGGAATTCGGGGTTTCGTACACGTCTAACTTGGCCAGCAATACTCTTGGATTATCGATACTAAAGGTTAATTTATATTGTTAACTAGTCGTTGTTATAACCATGGTGAATTGGAAGAAAGCTTGGAGAAAAGCTGGCTTTCTCGACTTGTCTCGTGAGACTTGCGAGATGAATGCATAGGTTAAGTTTAGGAGGTTTAGCTAATATGTAGCTATTACATAGGTAGTAGCAGGAGCCAAGACCGTAATGTCATGAAGCAGGGATGTTTGTGGATTATTGGGAGCGCTCCACTGTGGCTTGGCACCATGATGAAATCTGTACAATTCCTGTGAAACACGAGGATTTGATGCTTCTCGTTGGTAGGAAAGTACGTTGGTATTATGAATGTAGTGAAACGGTTTGTGAAAGGAAAGTGCTGACGTTGGAGAAAACTGGTACGATTCTTTATTTTCTTGGTGTAACCCCTTTTCGAGTATTACAACCCTTATTGTAAACCCTTATTGTAATCGATTTGCGATTTCATCCAGGTACTACAGCATCAATGTAAGATACTGAAAAAGGAAGGGCAAGCTTCTATCATTTCGGACTTCGACTAAGTTCATTTTTGAAACTGCCTCTGTACTACATTATGTAAGTACATAGGACACTAATCCGGCTGGTAAGCGGCATCAAGCTCACTTAATTTAGAATTACACCAAGTAGGCCAAGTTGATACTACATAGTACCTAATGAAGGTGCCTGGATCAACCACGGATCGCGGCAAGCGTCCCGGTATGTTGGTTCGCTTAGGTACGAACTGAAGTCCCACATGGTTGCGCAGCTCTCTTATCTGAATACGTAATTCACGTGCTATCGGTTTAAGCCAACGAAGCACTGCTCAGGGGCTGCTATAACACCAAATACGTAAGCTGGCAAGTAAAATGGAGCGCATCACGCTAAGATGTTTCCCATGTAAATAACTGCAGCAATATAGCATACTAAACTATGAGGTTAATGCAGTATAGAATCTCGTCATCCTACCGGCATCGTGTACGGAGGCCACGTTGATACTTAAGGTGGGGTTTTGGCGGTTAATTGAATTGTTGCATATGCATGTACGAATCAATGCCCCGCCATTAGTAAGATGACAACGAAATGGAAGCTCCGATTCAGGAACGTGGGGTTATAGAATTTAGATTTTGACCAATTTTAAAAGCGCCATTCGTTGTTTTTTCACTGAAGCAAGGGGAATAGACCTACTAAAAACAACGCCACGGAAGCATCGTAGCTAGATGCCGTTAAATCTGCAGATAGAGTGGACGTAGACCTTCTCAATTGGCCCATTCATAATTTAAAGGGCCCGCACGATTCTGCAGCGGTCCTCAGTTGCATCTCTAAATTTGACCCATACCGCCGCCGCCTATCACGCAAATCATGGATCTAGTTAATCAGTTCGTCCCCCCCAAGTATTTCGAGTTGTCTTCCCAGAGGCAGGAGGATCTCAATCTCTCTAGCATTATCTGTCACTATGGCTAACGCCCTGCCCATCGTTACTAGCCTGGAAGGCCGGTTGTTGTTTGCCGTTCCTAAGAGTAAGTTTTTTTCGACCACGTCTTGGACAAGCCGGCTCGCTTCTGTAAGACTAACATACTAGAAAGAGGGACGACTTAACCAAGCCGCTCTCAACTTATTAGAGGGTGCCGATATCCAGTTCAGACGAGAGAACCGACTTGACATAGCTTTGGTCAAGAATCTTCCTATTGCTCTCATCTTTCTCCCGGCGGCCGACATACCCACCTTCGTTGGCGAAGGCCGAGTTGACCTAGGAATAACGGGCCATGACCAGGTGCAGGAACACGATGCCGGTCTCCGCGCTCTGTACAAGGCACGGCGGTTTTCGGGTGAGATCACCCCTGAGGAAGAAACCGAACGAAACTCAAAAGGATCGGGAATCGAAACTGTCTTGGATTTGGGGTTCGGAGGCTGCAAGCTGCAGGTCCAAGTGCCTGAGAAAGGCAGCTATAACTCCCCGAAAGACCTGATTGGGAAGAACATCGGCACAAGTTTTGTCCACTTGGCACAAGAGTACTTTACCAACTTAGAATTGGAGGAAGAAGCGGCAAAGGAGGCAAATGGCGCTTCCTTCCAGTTTTCCAAGAAGCTACAGACGAAAATTATCGAACTGAGCGGTAGTGTCGAGGCAGCTTGCGCTCTTGGTGTGGCAGACGGGATCATCGACCTTGTCGGTAAGTTTGCCTACATCAATTCTTCAGTACTCAGCCTAAAGTCTAACGCTAACCATGACAGAATCCGGGGAAACCATGAAGGCCGCGGGACTTAAACCAATCGATACTGTTGTTGAGTCGACAGCTATCTTGATCAAGTCGCAAAAGCCTTCCAATCCAGCTCTTGTAGACCTAATTGCTGCCCGAATCCGCGGCGTCATCACGGCCCAGCGATACGTCCTATGCCAATACAATGTTGAGAGGTCAGGACTTGCGGCAGCAACCAAGATCGCGCCAGGGAAACGAGCACCAACAGTAACATCTTTGGAAGAGGATGGCTGGGTTGCAGTCAGCGTTATGGTCGAGAAGAAGAAGATTGCGCCGATAATGGACGAGCTGACCAAAGTCGGGGCAACTGATATCTTCGTATTAAACATTGCGAACACTAGAAGTTAAAAAAGGGGAAGAAATAAAACAAAAGAATTATGCTTAGTATTAAAGAGATGGCAGATAAGCATTTCTTGGAGAAGGTTATGTGCATATGGAGGGGGGGGGGGGGAAGGAGACATGCATATACAAGTACTTCTTACTTAACATTTATCTCGCTTGGGAATGTCCATAATCTAGGCTTTCTAGGCAATCTTGGCTCAGTACCATGGTTCCGAAATAAATTTCCCGTCCGACAAAATTTCGGTATTGAAAACACTAATGTAGAGGACGCCCGTGGTAGCGTGAGGCTTTGCTACCTAGGAACAGTTGCATGCACGCAAGGCTTATGAATTCTTGGTGGCTTTGCTTTTAGTGTAGTGCCCGTGCTGACGCAAGCCGGAGCGGCGGGGGTCGCGCGGGAGAAGGGAGAAGGGAGAAGGGACGATCCAGTTGAGACATCAAATTGGAACCTTCCAACACTGACAGGTCACGTCACGCTCATATCCAATGGAAATTCACGTAGATATTCTCGTAATTCGTACCTACCCACGCACTTGAAGATCCGGAGCGGGTCCCAAGGGTCCCGATGATAAGTATGATTAAAACTGCTCGGTTTCCCAAATTTACCTAACTTAGCACTTATTATTCAAATAGTTAATCTTATCGGGTTGTGTCAATTCCGAACGTCGTATACATTTCTATCATTTCGGGGTTACCGCATGAGCGAGCATGGAACCCAAGACCGTGTCTCGTACTGAAGCTGGCGGGGCTAAACAGTCGAGCCTTTATCAGGTAAGTCTAACTGCTTCATTCGCATGAAGGATCTAGTTGGAATGTTGGAATGTTGAGTAACCTTGAGTTGTGGGACATGAAGTTTGTTATGTGTTACTTTACTATATACTATCAGGCCGTAACTACCTAGGTAGCGTTCTCAGACGTCAACTAACAGCGTACATAGGTAATACAGGCCATCATGACCCCCGTCCACCTCATCTCGTTCCTCCTATCGCTATACCTTGTCGACTGCCACTACCACGATAAGCGCATCCAAGAGCATTCCGAACGATACAGCCGCCTGCCGCCTTGGCTGCTGCCCTCGTGGCTGGATCGGCTGCTGTTTAGCCCGGACCCGTATGGATGGGTCGACCGCAAGAAACAGAATGCGGCACCGGATAGTACCAGGAATCAGGAACGGTGGTATTACCACACGAAGCAGAAAAAGCTCATGAAGATGGAGACTGCGGACGCCTTCGAGATGCAGCGCACTGTCCTGCTCGGACTGGGTGTCGTAGGGCTTTTTGCGGTTTGGGTGCTTTGGCGACTAAGTGCGGGAGTACTGGCTTGCTTTGCTAGTTGATTTGATATGACTATGGCTTTTACGAGTATATGAGGAGAGGGGGTTTCGGTTTGGGGGGGTTTTGGGGGGTTTGGATAGCGAAGTTATTGAACAGAGCTACGGGCACTGAGAGCGAGCGATAGTTACGGCGTAATACAGATCTACTTACGATTTATGAACATTTCTATGTATTGATGGTAGGATAGCGTATCCCACGACTCTGGATTTTGACGTCACCGTCGGGAGCTTAAGCCTTAGTGCAGCTATACCGTTGCGGCCTAGCGGCCAAACCACAAGCCGCCGATCCACCCTGCCACCTATCATGTGTTAGTCGTAAGCACACTTCAAAAATAAATATACCGAGTACTTACGCCCGCGGCGAATACGCCTACGTCAATGATATCTCGTATCTAGGAAATTTTTTTCTTTTTTTCTTTTTTTCTTTTTTTCTTTCTTGAACTAGAGATTCTAATCTGTTTAGTTAATACCCTATCTGGTATCTATCTTATCTCAGTGAACTACCATCAGAGTTCAACGTTCTTGCTTAGGAAAGCGATGTATACTGCAGAGCAAAAGTTTAAAGAGACGCTTATTTTGCCGGGCCGCTAATAAGAGATGGCCCAGGAAGGTGCAGATGTAGCATCGGCTTACCGAGACTTCTACCACGCAAAGTTTCAAGAGGACGTTTCAGCCGGCACCAAGAAACCTTTCCTAGTCCCTTTATACTTCCTCAGCTATTGGTTTATACCCATCGTCTATCTTGCCATACCACATAAGAACCGGCCATGGTTATACCGAGCCAGATGGCTTGTCCTCGCTTTTACCGTGGCCTTTAATTTTCATATGATACTTAACGTCTCAAGCCACAACTTCGCCTCCGCTTATGGTGCTGGTCTTATCGGTGCTTGGGGGATCATATGGAATTTCACCCTGTTGGTCTGGACAAAACCACAGTGGGAAGCCAGGCGGGTGGAAATTAGAAGGAAGAGAAGCCGAAAGAATGGCCATATTGTTCAGACGACTAAGAGCTCTAAGGGGGGAGCAGATTCTGCAGATTCTGCAGATTCGACTGGTTTAGAATCAGACCGATGTAAACCTAACGGCAATGGATCGGCTCATAACCGTAAAGAAAGGAAAGATGGCGCTGCCATCCCGAAAACATCTCCGGAACAAACAGAGTTATCAGAGTTATCAGAGGAATCAAGGAAACTGCTCTTAGACGCAATACCTTCGCTGCGGAAATATCAAAATGACGACGAAATAGTTGCCCAACTCAAAAAATTAGAAGCAGAGCAAGAGTTCGAGTACTACTGGCAGGAATATCCAGCCGACGCTTCTCTCTGGACCCGACTAGACTGGGCCTTCGACATTGCCAGCTCGTTCCGGATGACAGGTAAGCAAGCATCTTGTATTTCTCTGTTGAGAAAAGACTAACTAACCTCACGTCCAAAGGCTGGAATTGGGCAATCCCCTGCCTACCGCCCTATGACCTGCCTCCCACTATCAACGGGTACCAGCTTCCCCTGAGTACCGTTGGTCCTCAGCGCAGTAAGCAAGGCTACACGCGGCAACTCACTCTCAAATCTCTCTTCCTCACGCGCTTCTTCCGGGACATCATCCCGAACTACCTCCTCGTCGACTTCTGTGCCGTGCACATGACCGCCGACCCATACTTCATCCTCGGACCCGAACACAGCAATCTCGCCCCTCTCCCACCTCACTTAACATCTCTCTCCCCCATCGTCCTTTCCGCCCAGCGCACTGCCCTCACGTTCCTAGGCGTAATATCCGCGCTCCAACTTGCCTTCGCCTTCGGCGCTTTGTCCCTAGCCCTGCTCCCTCCTTCCCCTCAAATATTGCGTTTCCGCGCCCACCCCTGGCACCTCCCCTCCTCTATCGGCTCTTTCTCCCAGGTTCTAGACCGCGGGTTGGCTGGGTTTTGGGGCAGCTGGTGGCACCAGACGTTCCGATTTGGGTTCTCGGCGCCGACGCGCTGGCTCGAGACTAACGGGTACGTGAAACCAGGATCGCCGGCGCAACGCGCTGCGGCGTTTGCCTTTGCATTTCTGCAGTCGGCCTTCTTGCATGCGTCGGGCAGTTATAGCACTGTGCCTACGAGATCCAAGTGGTGGCTTCCGCCGCTGTTCTTCATGTTCGCAGGCCTGGGGTCTACGCTGCAGACGTGGTTGGCGCGCGCTGTTTTCGGGGCGCTGATACGTCGGATGCCGCGGTGGGTAAGGAGGCTCGGAAACTTGGTTTTTGTACTCGGGTGGATGTGGTTGACGAGCTGGGCGCTGATAGATGACTTCGGACGCTGTGGGTTATGGCTCTTCGAGCCGGTGCCTGTTTCCGTATTCAGGTGGCTAGGTTACGGACCGACTCTGGACCGCCGCGTGTGGAGGTACGAGAGGGATTTCTGGCCGAAGTGGTACTGGGGGAAGCATTGGTGGGATAGCGGGTTTGGAATCTAAGCATTAGAATTTAACTTGGAATAGCACGGCGCGGCGCGATGCATATAGAATGGTCTGGCTATAGATGTTTTGGGGATAATAGGGTATCTTGATTAGAATCTGTGCTGGCTACTTGGATACTTGAGCCTGCGAATTAGAAATATATGAATATATTGCCTAGGTAGGTAGTTAGGGCAGATTGCTAACAACATGAGTTACACGCCCATGGCGGATGTCCTTCTTTGCACTAAGCTTCCTGACCTCGGCCTTCAGCCAGCTCAGTACCGTACTGTATTTAGACTGTTTTCGCTCTAATACTTTGCGGAAGGCGTTAAAAGCGAGCCTAGGTTAGATCCGTCAGTGACATCTAAAATGTGGCGGAATAAGATGCAACTCACCAAGCTACCTCGGGCTTCTTCACGTCGCAGGTGTAGCCCGGGTACCGAAGTTTGCGCGTTTTGCTCACGAGGAGCAGATGGGCTGTATCGACCAGCCTCGATATTGTCTCTATGACATGGCGTCAGCATGCATACCGTAAAGTGGTATAGTAGCATAGGACTTACTAATGATGAGGGCTGCCGATGGTTGCTTTTGCACCGACAGGCAGCGAGCATATGCCCACATCTTAGTAGCTGTTTCGCAAAAGGCAGTGTATATGTTATTCAATGTAGTACTGGCCGAGTTAAGCTCCGAATCAAAGAACATGAGATGGCTTTGGATCCTGAAGGCATCTATGGCATGCATTAATTCATATGTCCGAAAATTGGTATTGTTGGGTTAAGAAATGTCTTACTAAGAACTTTTCGCTGGAACGTTCGTCCTGGTGTACGCGAGAACTCGATTGTGAGGGAGTTGTATATAGCTAGACGATATTAGCCGGTGGGCCTGAGAGAAACCAGCCTGATGCTTACCTCTTTCCTGCTCCTTTTCTCGATTGCGAGATATATCCAAAGTCTTACAGTCGATCGTAGTGCCGCAGTAAGGGAACCGCTGGCCAGGATTTAACTTTGTGACCGGCTCATCATTGACCTTCATGTCAAAGTTAACCAGAGTTTTTCGAGGATTCACTGTCACTCCATATTCTGGAACACCCCGATGCATGGTTTTCACGAAGCGGATAGCTTTCTGCTTGTCTGTAGTGATGAGGAGAAAATCGTCAGTAAGTCGTAGGAGTAGGCAGTCCTCCGAATCGAGGAAAGGTAGAACATGAATCTCAAGATCGGCATAGAAGTAGTTGCAGAGAGTAGAAGATAATATAGATCCTTGTGGGATACCTTCTCTTTGCCTATAGAACTTCTTTCCGATCTTGACGAGATTTTGTTGAATGTGTGAAGCGACAAGCTGAAGCAACTCGCTAGTTTCATAATACTTGTTCCACCTGTCGACGAACACCGTATCCTTTTTAGTAGTTGCCCACTTGGACTCTAGATGTTGCATGAATGTAGAATTGTCGTGATCGCTTATTGCCGTAGAAGGCCATTTCTTCACGGGTTTTGATTTAGATTTGTTACCTGCTTGGCTTATTAAATTTGATACAACCTCGGCGTGCGTTGATACTCGATATTGACGTTGTTGGGGTATAGAAGCAAGCAAGCTGACAATTGCCGCCTGGGGGATGGTATCGAAAGCAGACTGAACATCAACTTTCGCAAGATAAAACTCAACACCAGGCCTGGTGATCTTCAATTTGAATGGCTTCACACGCTTATAAATATCTCCTACTGAAAATAGGGTGGCCCCTAATTTCTGTGGGTTTATGGTCTGTTTAGGTTAGAAATTTGGATTTTTATATTAACGAAGGGCCATACCTTTTCCAGTTGGAGTATCGCGTGTGCTGGTGCTAGAATTCTATTGATTCCGGCTCCTAATGCCTTCGACTTCCCTCGGAGAGCAGCCCTTTTGCGGAGATTCATGATTGGCCGCATGCCGATCTCTTTCGGCAACAAGCGAATTTGACCAAATCCAAGAGCACGGGAGTCGAGGATTTGTTGGGCACGGGAGAGGTTGACCTCGGAAAACATCTTGGTTTTTAATGCCGCCATCGCAGGTTCCGCTATATATCGCCAAACATCATGGCGAAAAAAGAACAACTTATACTTGTGAGTGTTTGACTCTGTAACATAAAAGTGACTGCGAATGAGGGGTATTAGAAGAGAGTCGAATACGAAGTAGAGAAATTCGTTGAAGAGCTCGCGGCGCTTCTGCAGATCGGTCTGTGAAGTTTTGTTTGACCTGAGTCGAGGTGGCGCAAGCCAGTCAATCTCGGTCAACTTTTATCGTTAGATATATCAATTTTTGAAGCCGAGACGTATCTATAACACTAACCTTTATACCCTGCATCACTTCGTGAAGTGACATGCCTTCGAAACGCCTTAATAATATGAAATGATCTATTTTACCGAGAAATATGCTCTCGTTGTGTCGAGCAACGTCTCCGCTGCCCCAGAACCCGTTAGGTATGATCTTCTTTAAAACAGCCTGACAGAAGGCAGAGATCTTTGCCGGTGGAGTTGCTAGGTCGAAAATAGATGATATCGGATCTTTTTGAGTGGGGGAGGGTTGGGTTGCCTTCCTTTTCCTTAACACAACCGCTTTGCGTGAAGGTTTATGACTGGCGCTGGCTTCAGTAGACTCAAGCTCTTGGTGGCTAAGAGAAGTATGAAGCTTCGAGAAAAATTAGTGCTGCCGGTGTTGATTCGGTTCTGTAGACTTACTGGGCAATGATGTTGAAGGAGTTTCGAGTAAGAACAACGCTGGTGTAAGATTTGTACTTTTCGTATTAATTCTATCGCGGTACCCCTTAGCCTCTTGGGTATCTTCACCTGGGTAGTGGACTCGTTGAGCCGGCCAAACTTTTCAAAAATCTCCTCTTCTCGAAGAGTATAATCCTTGAGCCGATGAGCTGTTTCCTTGAAATTGACTTTGGAAGTAAACACATTATGAAGCCCAAATTGACGAGGGAAAATGTACATCATAATTCGTAGAGTGTGGGCTTCATTCTGTAGCGTCATCCGTTGCTTGGCCTCAGTTGAGTGCCCTTCTACTTTATCGAGGTGGCTATATAAAGACCGGTTCAATACGTCTGTCACTGTTAGTAGCCTATAAACTATGCAGTAGTAATATCTTACGGATATGTCTTAAACCGAAGTGTACAACTCCATGGGCGTTAAGAGAAGCTCTAGCGTAGAGCATACGGTTACGGACAAAGATAATCTCTGACATGGTTTTTACACCAGAGCTACCTGGCAGTCTCCCGGGCTTCTCTTGATTAAGCACATCGACGTCCGACAATGGGTTTCCTGGCTTTGAATTAACACGTGGGCTTCGCCCTTGCCGCGGAATCACAAGACTTACCACTGATCTGACAGAAATTATTCGCCCCTGTTTTCACAGGCGTAAATATAGCACAGTCGAGGAGTAGGCTTATCATAATACGTTCCCCCGAGTCACCCATTAGGGCGAGAAGCTGTGGCCATGGCGACTGCTTCAGCGTCTCGACATGAGGGTTACGCCGAAATGCACGTAGCCCTAAGCCCCGATTTCTACTGTAGCCGTCGCAAAGTAAATGCTTTGGCCATGTGCTAGACTTCTCTCTGGAAAATATCGTTCTCACAACATATTCTACAATCTTTTTAATGTTAGCTCGTCTGCAAGACACGGTTGGATAGTCGTATTCAACTGCTAGGAAAGAAGTTTGGGCCGTACAAGTGCCTGTATCTCGATAAACCCGGTAGCACCATCGGATAGTGTGACGCAGGACTCATCCCCTTTCTGAGAGAGGGCCTTCCATCCCTCTATACAGTTATCTTCTGGTCTTTGCAATTCGGCCTGTATGCCAATAAGCGTGCCGTCAAGCAGGGCCCCTAAAGACCGCTCCACATCCGAGAGTGGTGAGTCTGGGATGTGATTGTCTATGCCGATGGTAGCAACTTTTTTCCTTCTAAGCCTAGACGTAGTAGGTAGTCTCGAGAGGACGTAATTACGTAAGGTCAGTACTTGAGAGTAGAATTGATTGAGAACCGCGTGTTGGGCTTGTGGAGGTGCTGAGCGTTGATTGCTCTCGGGATCTATCATCCTTATCCTCCCTTTTTTTACGAGTGGTTCGTCATCTAAAGGGATATTGCGGGTGTCTCCTCGCTTCCGCTTCCTTGGATGAGCCATCTTATGGTCTCATAATGCCTCCAGAATGCGAGTTGTGGCGTTCGTATTAAGCTGTCTAACCAGCAGGGGAGTCAGGAATAGCTACAATTCGACTCCGGGTTCATTCATAGGACGGTTCGAACAAACGCGTGTACGTAATCTATGCACACGCGATGGGCGTGATGAGTGGTGTGTTGCGTACATACGGATGTATGTGTACCGAATGTAGTAGGTATCATTGTGGTAGGTGCAGGTGCTAATTGATCAATCATTAGGTATGGGAGTACTCTCATTATGGAATGTATTAACTGATCAATGTATGTATGTACGAAGTATGTATGTACGAAGTATGTAGAAGCTTGAACCCACCCGGCACGGCTCCGGACGGGAGACCAACCGTGCGCTAGTGTACCTAAGTTTTATGTAGGTAGAGATTACATTAGTCCACCTTCAAAAGTGGATACTACCTCACCTAGGTACTACGTTAGGTAAGATGATCAATTCTAACGCGGCATTAACCATTGATATTGATTTCATAATATGTACCTGTTATCTCCCATAAGAACTTCATATCTATATCTAGTTTAACTAATGCTTAATAATGATAATAAGTGCTCATATATGCCACCTTCACTTACTTAAATAACACCTTTAACTTAGTTGTTAAGTAAATGTTTCACCCTGTAATTAGAAAACACGACATCTTTCTCCTTGCGACATATACCTACCTAGGTACCTCTAAGGTAATTATATCTTCCGGCAGTCGGCTTTCTCTTGTTAAACTCGGCCGGATTCTAGGTTGGGCTCTGCTACATAGTACATAGATTCGCATTGGACATGGAGAAAAAGGCGTTTGACTTATTCCTTAGGCATGCTCGGCATGTTGGCCCTATTGGTAGTTACAACTTGTAATTTAACTCGCATACTTTGTCATACCAGATTGGTTCGCTAATTGTCACCGACCGGGTTTAGTCATGTACATCTTGGACATGCCAAACAACATACTGAAGCATCTCCAGAGCCACTCTGTATTATCCACTGGATTGATCCGAGAGGTATGCTTCTATGCAAGATGAAAACACTCGGGGACGAATGGGGACCACCAATTCCAGAGTCGCAATAGGGGTCTGAGTTAATCTCGTCTTCGATAGGGGTCAGTTGTCAGTCGTCAGTCGTCAGTCGTCAGTCGTCAATTGCAATCACCCCTTACTTTTCCCTCAGGATTGCGGCCTGATACACCAGTCATCTACGATCTACAAGCATGATAGCACTTACAGGTATGTACACATCAGACCATATACCTAGGTAGGTATAAGCCCATTATGGCGTATTGTAGATTGTGGCTTTCTTTCCGTTGATTTAGTTCTCCGATAATGCGAGTGAGCGAGTGGTTACGATGGAATGATGCAAGCTGCATGCACTCCTGTCTGAACTTATGCCGTATCCCACCGCCAGCTGGTCAATTTCATCTTTAAAAGTTTTCTTCCGGCCAACGAGCGACCAACAAGCCACCACCCACCGGAACCAGTATAGGTAATATATCAAAGTACCACCGGCCACGGAGAATGACTAGGTATGTCGAGTATAGGTAATCAACATCTCCTATCATTTAATTGTTTAGAAGCCAGCTCAGTAGATATTCCATCATGGCGTTGAGGGATATAAAGATTCATGTTTGTGCGTTATGTACCCAAATAACTTGTAAACAGGTACGAATTGCTTGAGATCATTTTAAGCTTAAAAAGCTCATCTTCCACTTGTAAACCGGCCTACTAAGACATTGCCACAAATACCTGTATGTATTGTAGGAAAGAAAAAGACATGTGTTCTAAGCTTGGGAAAGGTCTAGGTATGCAAGGTCTCGTTCGATGTCTAACTATGTCACAAACAGATATCCATATAACTTTTATTTTTCTCCAATAATATTGACATGTTTCTGTCTGGTCTTTAAATTAGATAGATATTTGCATACGTTACCTATAGATATCTAATCAATCCTATACAAGAATCATGGTTTATTATGCTTTCATGCGTATATAGATCTGCAGGATGATTCTCCGACGGTTCGATCGTTATGCAGTCAAACGGCCCTATGGTCCTTAGACATTTCCACCACTTAAATAGGATAGATCTTCTCCAAGAAATTCACAGCCTTGAGAGATTCTGAGGATATGATACAGCTAAAATTGTACTTTATCCTTAAATTTCACATTTTCGTATCCCGAATCCCGAATTTCACAATTCCCAGATCCATGATCCTAGAGAAATACCTATGTACTTGCCTACTTTGGTACCTAAGGTAAAAGATAGAAGGCCCGCACAACACCTGATAGAGGCTAGACCCTGCCCTAACCCGTACCAAGATACTGCTCAGTACCTGGCCGGATAGCGACTCCCCCATACTAAAGCAGGTAAAGCAGGTAACTAAGTTACAAGGTAACTGTAAGTTACAAGGTAACTACCTACATGTACGTAAGCCTTATTAGTCGGCAAGGGTAACCCTCAGCTTTTGCACCAAAATGCAAGCACCAAATGCACCAAATGCACCTAGACCTGCCAGACTCAATGCACCAAGAGAAGCCGTCACCTTAGTCGTAATCTTAGTAGTTAATCTAGAGCAATCGAAGTCTGTACCAGTTCTTGTCCCCCCCAAACACTTCTCACCAAATCATCTTGCATGCCAGCCTGCCAGCGCATCAACCCGGGAGACATTCCCACACGGCCAAACAACTTGCAACCCTTTGCCAGGGGCGGGTCTTTTCATCCTAGAATCATCGAATGGCTCTTTCGAAAATCCTTCTGACGTCCACGGCCGGTACGCTTGCACGTCCGCCCTCCCCCCACACTTCCTTGCTGCTTGCTACTACCTGCTGCTACCTCGCTACCTCACCATTGCTCATTGGCATCCAATTGCTTGTAAGCTCGAAAACCCAAGTCGCCTAGCTTAGAAAGGTTCAAGGCAAACTCCAAGGTTATTCGACAACGTAGCCTAGGACAGAGAACCCTTGCTCGGCTCGACCTACCTACGCTCTCCATTTGTCTTGTACAATATCTATCGGCGCCTGAATGTCAGGGTGATGTCCAGAAGATGCAGGAAGAGGAGGAACCCCTTGGTGCGACGTTGGCAGCCCATAATTTTGAATCCCAGTCAAGTCTAAGTCCAACTAGACGCCAACAGCAACACGGCTATTACAACAACCACTACGAGCAACAACAACAGCAACAGCAGCAGCAACAATACCATGCTCGTCTAAATTCTAATCCAGCAGCATTTGACTCCTCCCACTACGACGATTACGATTACGATACCAACCTTGGTCGGAACCCTGCGCTACCTTCGTCGGAATTCGCGTCCTATGCCTCAAGTAACTTTCAAGCCGCCCATGCGAACGCGACGAACGTCGAACCCGTGGCCGTCGTAGATCCGGTCGATTTCTATAGAACTTATCGTGGCGTACACACGTCCGTGCCAGGCCTGGCCCACGACGAATTGATGGCGTCAGCCTTGCCTCCCCCGAAGCAAGATCAGAATCTTCCGTTACGATCAAACGGAAGTATTGCGGCTCCGAGGCACCCCGCTAATTCTTCGACAAGGCCCGGCGTGAGGCCTGCTGTGCGCTCTGTATCGGCCCCCATTGACGACAAACAACCTAGTAGTACTTCGAGATCGAGAACCACAGCCAACGCTACACATGGGAGCCGTAGCGGACATCAGCCCAGCGTGAAGGATTTGAAGAGGAGGTTTGACCAGAATGGGGCGCAGCCAAGCAGTTCTACTCCCTCCAAGACTGTCCCGCGTATTCCGATTAGAGAGACATCGTCATCGCCCAGGTATCGTAAAGTAAGTGGCTCTTCTCCATCAAATGGACAACCATCATATGCGGTGTTGCGGTCATCCGTGACGCGTGACTTGGAGTCTGGAACAGGATCTTCGGGGGCGCGAGCAACACACCGAAATAAGTCGGTTTCCGAAGATCAGTTGTCTAGTAATCCACAGTCCTTTGCAAGCCGTATAGCGAAGCCTCGGGTCTCGACTGGGTCTCATACCCAGGCGTCAAAATCTCTGAACAGTCTTTCACCAACTTCGCCCAGCTCAATCCCGCCAATCCCCCAGTCTCACGGCCTTTTATTTGGGGAGATAGCACCCGGCAAGCTGGATACAGGGGCAGCAGGCTTTGGCATTGAAGGTGTTCGGGCGAGACGAACTTCAGACTCGAATATCCATAATCCGAAGGGTCTGCGCCAGAGGAGCCTTTCGCACACTGATGTTGAACCGCCTTCGCCTAGTGATTGGTACCGTAGTGCAAATGGAAGTCCCGCGATTCATGACGACACTAAGACGAAGGATCTAAGATCCGCTAAGGCCCACAACCGGTCGCAAAGCGACGTTGCTGGAACTAGGTCGGGCCCAGCGCCGTCGCAAAAACCTCAAGCTTCGAACTCAAGACCCCACAAAGATCGGGGCCCGCCATCGGCGACTTCGAGATTGCCCGTTTCGGTGCGAAAACTTAGTAGCCCTTCAGGTTCTTCCAGTCCAGCATCGACACGATCGAATTCGCCGACTACGCTGAGACGCCCTGCTATCCAAGGGATGTCTTCTAAGTCAATACCGTCCTCACGAGCAAAGACGCCCAGCAGTAGCTCTAGTTCCGCCACAAGACGGCCAAACCGTTTAGGTTCCGTGACTCCAAATAATAGCACAAGACTCAACGCATACATATCAGCGCCTCTACCGAAATTATCTCCGCCACTACGAAGCTCACGACCGCGTCAACCAGTTTCCTCCGCGACTACCGCCAGCTCAAGAATGAAGGCCATCGAAAGAGGCCGATCACCGTCGCATCATGACTCTCGAACAGGCATAAGGTTTAATGAGCCGAGCACGCGGAGACGAAAGATATCGATGGGCCCGATCGATTTCGAGTCGCGACGAGCGCAGATTAAATTGTCTTATACAAAATCTATCCGAGAGAGTGAGGCTCGAACTGCAGCTAGAAAGGCTGCTGACGAGAAGAAACGGGAGGAGGAGGCTGAGGCTGAGGCTAAGGCTAAGGCCGAGACCGAGGCCGAGGCTACAGAAAAGGCTCGACTAGCTATTGAAGCAGAGCGTTTGAAGGAAAGCAGCCAAGAGGATCCAAAGAACGACAATATTCAAAGCCCAACAGACAGCGAAATATCAACTTCAGAGCAAGCGGTGTTAACAATCGCGACAGATATCACACAGCCTAGTTTAGGTAGCGTTACAGAAATCTCAGGAGCAGGAGTAGTCGAGAAAGATTCACCAACACTCGGTCTACCTGGAAGTTTCCCGGCTGTCGAAATCATAGAGGACCAAGATGAAGCACCGCCTTCAGCTAT